CCTCTGGGAGAGCAGCCAGTGCTCTTAACCGCTGAGCTACAGGAGCTAATAAGACTGAGCTAGTGGGCCACCAATCAGTTTTTTTAAAATATTTATTTATTTATTATGTACATAATATTCTGTCTGTGTGTATGTCTGCAGGCCAGAAGAGGGCACCAGACCTCATTACAGATGGTTGTGAGCCATCATGTGGTTGCCGGGAATTGTACTCAGGACCTTTGGAAGAGCAGGCAGTGCTCTTAACCACTGAGCCATCTTTCCAGCTCCTGCTACCAGCTTTTTACTCTCCAATTTTAAAACTGTGTTCCTTTCCTTTTCCCTGCGACCTTTCTCTGTCTCCTCTGTTGGCCCCTCTTTGTGCTGCTGTAGACCTCAGAACTGAAGACAGACAGGTTCTCCAGTCCACTGGCCCTACAGACTAGTAGGAGCCCTCACTACATGTTTTCCTTTGTTTTGATTTTTTTTTCTCCAAGACAAGATCTCATGTAGCTCAAGTTCATACTCACTATATAGCTAGAGGTGGCCTTCAACTCCGAATCCTCCTGTCTCCACCTACCTAGTCCCTGTCTGGGGACTAGGTCAGGTCCTTACTACGCTGCCCAGGCTGGCTGGCCTGGCATTCTTTTATGGAGTGAGGGGTGACTAAACCTAGGCCCATGCATGTGTGAGATGAGCCTCTACCCACTGAGCCCATCCGCAATCCCTATCTCTTTCCTTTTAAGCATCAGGTAAAAAGGGTTTGGATCTTTCCCACTGCATGATTAAGCTTGGAATATTTCCTGTTGTCTTCCAGTACCTATAACTACCTGGGAAAAAAGACAAACCAGATGCTGCAGGCTTTTGAACAGAAAGACTTCACTTCAGCCCTCAATTACCAGGTAACCCTGTCCTACCCTCACTTGTCTGCGCAGAGCAGTTCCACGGAGAAACCCTGTCTCGAACAACAAAAACAAAATTTAAAAAAGGAACCTGCCCCATCATCCCTGGCCCCATATCTAAGGAGATACAAGGCCCATATGGGACAGAATCTTCTCTTCTTCCTACAAAGAATCTTATTTTTATTTTATCATCAAAGTATTTTTTGTTGTAAAATAATAGTCATAGATTTTTGTTAAAGTGAGTACATGCCATCCTCAATTTTGTTGTTGTTGTTGTTGTTTTTCAAGACAGTGTTTCTCTGTGTAGCTTTGGATCCTGTCCTGGAACACGCTTTCTAGACCAGGCTGGCCTCAGACTCACAGAAATCCACCTGCTTCTACCTACTGAGTACTGGGATTAAAGGTGTGCACCACCACCACCTGACCATTCTTAATTTTTTTAATTAACTTACTTTTATTTCTTGTGCATTGATGTTTTGCTTGCATATATGTCTGTGTGAGGAAGTCAAATCTCCTGGAACTAGAGTTACAGACAGTTGTGAGCCACTATGTGGGTGCTGGGGACTGAACCTGGGTCCTCTGGAAAAGCAGTCATTGCTCTTAATTTTTGTTATTATTGTTTTGTCTGAGGGACAGGGTCTCACACGCTGGCCCAGGCTAGCCAGGATGTCATGGCAGGTCTCCTGCCTCAGCTTTTCCTGTGTTGATGTTGTTCAGGGGTACAGTAAAGAACTACCAACATGGCAACTGGCTTCATTAGGGGAAGGTTTGGTTTTTCTTGTGAGTAAGAGAGAGGCGATACCAGAGGGTCTGGAAGGGTCCAGAGCAGGGAGAAAAGAATGCAAATTGGGCGTGGCCAGGGCTAGGGAATTGGGAGAGCAGTGGGTATAGCAAGAAAGATGAGAGAGAGGAAAAAAAGTAGCAAGGAGGGGTGGGGCAGACAAGTCATTCGGATTATAGGGACAAGTAGCTGCCGGGGAAGCACTCCTTTTGGGATTAGAAAACCGCTCTTGTAAGTGCTGGCTTTTATCTGACTACCAGAAATGCTATAGTCCAGCTTGAGCTCATTTCTAGACTATAGAGGGCTGGAGACCTAACAGCTGCAAAGATAGATGTATGTGCCTACCTGTCTTCTTGAGGAAGTCCCTCCTGAGTCACCAAAGAATAGGAGAAAGGATGAGGCTGAGAACCTAAAATGGGGAAGGGTAATCGGTGTACACCCCAAAGTGTGCTGAGAATGGGAAACACCCACCAGGCAGGAAGCAAACTGATGCCGCAAAGCAAGGCGCTGGCTTTGAGAAGTGTGTGTGTGTCTGTGTGCACGCGTGTTGTGTTGGTGGACAAGTTATAGAATCGGTCCCCATCTTGTTTGTGGGTTCCAGGGATCTAACTCCGATGGTCAGGTTTGCACAGCCAATTTTCTCTACCAAAGGAGCCACCTATCCAGCCCTGGTTTTGTTTTGAATTGGGATCCTGCTGCCCAACCCTGGCTATCCTTGAACTAAAGCAGCAGTTCTCTTTGCTTAGTTGTTCCACCTCAGGGACTCTGTCACCACACTCAGCTGAGACTCACGCAATAGGAAAAGGGTTTGGCCTGGTAGGTTACCAAGAAGATGCAGAGGCAATAGTGGCGATTGTGTGTCTTCTACCTGGAGGACAGCCTAGATGTACAAATAAAGATGTCACGGAAGAGCAGAGCCAGTCTCGATGTGCTGTTTTGGACAAGGCAATGAAGAAGGTAGAATCACAGGAGCATATGCCATCACAGAAAATTTGGAGGGCCTTTTGTTGGTTTAGGGGCTTTTGGGTTTGGTTAGTTTTGTTTTGATTTTGACTTTTTGAGGGTCTTGTTATGTAACTCAGGCAGGCCTTGAATTTATGACTCCGCCTATCTCTGGGATTGCCGGCAGACTCTACCACACCAGGCTCACACCTGGTCTAATGCAGTGCTCCGGGTTGACCCCAGGGCCTCTCGCATGCCAGGATGGTGTCCCTACCAACCAAGCTTCCTGCTCCTCCCTGAAGACATGTATTTACCTGTATGCACATGCACACACATGTGGAGCTCAGAGTACAGCTTGAGGAAATTGAGTTTCTCATGTCATAGCCTGAGCAGACTGTGTTGATCTCATTGACTTCTTTCTCCTATTCTGATAGCCCTACAGAAAACTAAGGTGGCTAGACTTAGTAGAGGTTCCGTCATTTGACGTCTGAACTGTATAAATGGCTTTCACGGCATGGCGATACTGACCGCAGACTTCTCTGTTCTCTTTTAGTTTTGTATCCAGAGATTTATCAACCATGTGATCAAACTCGGTGAGTACCCTTGCTGTCCTCTGCCTCGCTGCTGACCGAAAGCAATAGCGCTTACTTACCAAGCCAGGGTTGGTAAGAGGGACTGTCATCTACAAGGCATGGGTCAGAGGGGTCACAGCCAGACTGAGACTGTGACGAGATTATTGCAAGCAATCAGGCTCTTTATATACGCTTATCAGAAACAGAATATAATGGTGGTTACCAGGAAGAATACAATTGTAGTTGCCAGGATACCATGTCGCTTATGAGCTATACAGTGTGTACTAGATTAATATCTAAGACTAATTGTTCTGTCGAGACTCTGTATGCTTCACTGACTTCTAGAGAAGCAGAGATAAACTGGAAGCCTCAGTGCTTCACTGCCTGGGGGAATGCCTCAATTTCTAAAGAACAGAAAGGCACACAGGGCCCCAGGAGCCACAGACTCGAACATGAAAAACCTCTGATACATGTCTGTCAAGGCATCTAGACCAGGTTAACTCTATGATTCCCGGAGGCTGACCGGGTGTAAAAAGATGGATTTGCACCACTCCCTATGAGGGTTCAACCAGCATACCTACAGTGCTCAGTCATGGCCCTGGCAGTCAGGAGCAACATGACCACACTCACACACACACAGTCACACACACAGTCACACACACACACACACACCATTTTCTATTCTTTCTTCCTTATAGCATCAGCCCTCCCTCCCATTATTTGCCTCTTCTCATTAAAATTCTGCTGCTGAGCTGTGGCTGATCTCATCCTAAGGACTTGGAGGAAGGCAATCCGAGTACAGAGCCTACGAAATGACGAATGACTGACAGTTCCCCTGCGTTTGTGAAATGTAAAATGAGTTTATTAACGCAAGTAAATTTAAACGGATGGGGGTTTGGATGACAAAGGGAAGTTAGGGGGAAACAGAGTCTGAGCAGAGGAACCTCTGCGAGGTGTCTTAACTCACTGCAGCCAAGGACAGGCGCTGCCTTTGGGACAGCTGGATGTGGGTCAAGGCCAGTGCTTAGTGTGTTCTTGGCCAACCTCCCACCTCCCTTTCAGAGCCTTTCTGCCTTGCTGTAGCAACTCTCTCCTCTGCCCAGCACCTATTGTCTACTTGGTCTCATTCCCACAGTTTCAGCTAGCCTTCTCCATCCCTTTGAGACAGTGTTTCTTTTTGCGTTCACACCTCGGTCACACTTCGGTTACCCTGTCCGGTGACGCTGTCATAGTGGGGTACCTCTAGTTTTGTTGAATATCATTATTATTCCTTTGCCCTAACCAGTACTTTCCACAAAGATTATTACTTCAATACAATAATTACTTGTTTCTAGAGTACATCAAGATAGAAAATTAGGGACCTGGCGAGACTCAGAGGTTAAGAGCACTGGCTGTTCTTCCAGAGGTCCTGAGTTCAATTCCCAGCAACTGCATGGTGGTTCACAACCATCTGTAATGAGATCTGGTGCTCTCTTCTGGCCTGCAGGCATCCATGCAGGTAGAATACTGTATGCATAATAAATAAATCATTAAAAAAATTTTAAAAAGATAAAAAATTAACTGGTAAAGAAGGCATAGTAGTACATGTCTGTAATTCTAGCACTCGGGTAGTGAAGGCAGGAGGACCAACATCAAGGTGATTCTTATTAAGGCCACCTGGACTATAGTCTGCCAAAATAAATAAATGAAATATAAAATATCTATAGTTGAGTATAGTAGCACATGCGTGTAATACCAGCCCCAAAGAATTGGTGGCCAAGAGGATTTCCACAAGTTCCAGGCCAACTGGTCTACATGATTCAGGACAGCCAGGGATATATAGCTAGACCCGATCTCTGGAAGGATTTTAGGGGCTGGAGAGATGGTTCAGTAGTTAAGAGCACTGGCTGTCCTTTCAAAGTGCAATTTCCAGGTACCCACAAGGTGACTCACAACCATGCTAACTCCAGTTCCAGGTGACCTGGCACACTCTTTTGACCCCTACAGGCACCAGGCACTCATATGGTACACAATCAAATATGCAGGCAAAACACCCATATGCATAGAATAAAATCTAAATTTTGAAAAAGGTAGGGGAGAATTAAAAGGATAGAGTGATGGATCACTGCTTAAGAACATTCCTTGTGCCGGGCAGTGGTGACACACGCCTTTAATTCCAGCACTCAGGAGGCAGAGACAGGTGGAACTCTGTGAGTTTGAGGCCAGCCTGGTCTACAGAGCAAGTTCCAGGACTGGTTCCATAGCTACCGAGAAACCCTGTCTCGACAAACCAAAAAATAAAAAATAAATAAAGTTAGATTAAAAACTAAAAGAGAGCTAGGCTGCGGTGGCATTTTTAATCCCAGCACTCAGGAGGCAGAGGCAGGTGGAACTCAGTGAGTTTGAGACCAGTCTGGTCTACAGAGTGAGTTCCAGGACAGCCAGGAGTGTTTCACAGAAAACCCACCATGAAAAACAAAAACAAAAACAAAACAAAACAAAACAAAAGGCCAGGAAGTGGTGGCGCACACCTTTAATCCCAGCATTCGGGAAGCAGAGGCATGCGGATCTCTGGGAGTTCGAGGCCAGCCTGGTCTACAAGAGCTAGTTCCGGGATGGGCACAGAGAAACCCTGTCTCGAAAAACCAAAAAAAAAAAAAAAAAAAAAAAAAAAAAAAAAAAAAAAAAAAAAAAAAAA